TAGACCTATCTGCAAGTGGTTCCTCCTTTTCTAGTAGTTTTGCGCACTTATAAGTGGTAGGTTTGAGACAATACTTTTAACTCCCCCTAATTATATAGTGCATAAATATATAGTGCTCACAACAAACTAATAACCTGGCTTGTTTTCTTTTTGTATAGGCCAAATGGAGAAAAAAAAAAAGAAGAATATGCGAGGGTGATTTGGGATTACGATGCTTTGGATCCCCATTTTGGTTAATGTAGTACCCTATATTTATCACGATGGTTTGGATACCCATTTTGGTTAATGTATTACCCTATATTTATCATCTCCATTTGATGTTTTCTTCTTTTAGCTTATGAGGAATATTTAATTAGTTATTTTGGTTTGTTGGCTCCACTTTTAAGTTGCACCAAACATTAGGCAATAGGTGAGACTGAGCCAGCTTTATTAAGTACTACTTCCCAACAATCTTAACTTTAAACCAATTTCATCTCTCTTACTCATTAACGTTAATGCTGGAAAATTTAGCTGTAGTACTTGATACATTAAATTCTTTGAAGTGTTTTCCGTTCTAAAATAATAGTCTTGTTCCTTGAAGTTTTACGCTAGTTTGTCCGGCATTTGTTGTTGTTTCCTCCCCTGTTTAATTATCTCCCATGTGAGAATAAAAAAATAGCACAAAACTAGAGACATAACCTATGTAGTTGATTTTAACGCGAGCCACTTATTAAATTATTTTTGTACCAGCCCCACTTATTTGCAACTATACATATCCTTCTCTCATTTGTAATCAGCTTTTCTATCTTATTGTATTCCTACTAGAGTTTTGAAATTTCTGCAAATACCATATTTTTATCCCGATTTGGACTATTGTCCATTTCTTTCTGTAGTTAACTAAGTTCAAGGTCATTAGAATGACCAACTTTTTACTTTTGAACCACTTTATGTTTTCCTCCATGATAGAACTATTATCATAAACTTGACCCCTCACATCGTTTAACAATTCATCAAAATCAAGAAATTTTGAAGAATGTTATAACTCAGCCATCATTTCTAATTTAGAAGTATAATTTGTATTCAAAAAAATCTGAAAAATACTCGCTTTCATTTATGTTGTGACTTGACATGTTTACACATTGCACTACTAAAGACCCTTGTTATTGATGACTCACATCTGAGGTACAACAAAAAATTATAGAGAAATACTTTTCAACTTTAATCATCCTAATAATAAAACTTCTCACATTATTCCCTAAAAAGAGAAATTAGCTTATTTCAAATTCTACACCCAAAATAATGATGTTGAATGTCATGATTTTTTTATCCGCCTAACATGATCTTATAATATAATGTCGAATTCTAGAATCATCTCAATCATTTCTAACAAATTACCATTATTATCTTAGTAAATTTGTCCATTAGTTTTTTAAAAAGTCGACCGACGTTTGAAATTACAATTTCTTAACAAGAAATTTATTAATTGCTCATTGGGAGTTTATAAACTCTTACTTTTCTTTTTTTTCAACTTTTGTCTTTTGGTATGACCAGACTTTTGTTTTCTGGACAGTATCGATGTGTTTATAAGAAACATTACAACTAACAAAAAAGACAAAATGCTTTAAAAAAAAATGACACATGGAGAAACACAAGACAATTCCGAAATCCCAATCTAAAGTGGCCAATCGAAAAAGCTACATCATAACAAAAGAATAACATCAGTGCCCTTTTAGATGAAATAAAGAAATAAAATAGCAAATTTATATCCTGCTCGACTTGGCTTAATGTCTGATTCCCGTTTTAATCGGTTCGACGTGCCGGTCCGAGCCGAGCATAACAACACTGATAAAAAGCATGACATTCAACCATTACTTAGGGTGTAGAATTTAAAATAAGCTAATTTCTCTTTTTTGGAAATAATGTGAGAAGTTTTATTATTAGGATCATTAAAGTGGAAAGATATTTCTCTGTAATTTTTTTGTTGTACCCATTATGTGAGTCATCAATAACAAGGGTCTTTAGTAGTGCAATGTGTAAACATGTCAAGTCACAACATAAATGTGAACGAGTGTTTTTCAGATTTTTTGAATACAGATTATACTTCTAAATTAGAAATGTTGACTGAGTTGTAACATTCTTCAAAACATTTTGATCTTAATGAATTGTTAAACAATATGAGGGGTCAAATTTATGATAATAGTTCTATCGTGGAGGAAAATATAAAGTGGTTCAAAAGTAAAAAGTTAGTCATTCTAATGACCTTGAACTTACTTAACTGCAGAAAAAAATGGACAATAGTCCAAATTGGGATAGAAGTATGGCATTTGCAGAAATTTCAAAGCTCTAGTAGGAAGACAATATGAATAGAAAAGCCGATTCTAACAACATCTTATAGGGAAGCATTTGGACAATAATAGAATCATGGAAAATCATTTTAAAAAAATGAAGAAATTTCTAAACCCTCTTGGCATACTCGAATAAATCCGAGATCATTAAATGCGTTATTTGTTTGCCACAATCTGAATCTAACTATTACTGACATGATTTTTTTACTCTAATAATAAAATCATATGTTTCTTTGATGTTGTGCTACGAATATATTCATCGTTTGCTAGTGCTACATACGATGGAAAACTTGACGTGATACTATTCCAAATTAACTGCCAAATCTTTGTCTAATACATGTTAGGAAAGTCGAATCAAGAGTGTCTAGACTATTAGATTTTAGATTCTCCAAATAAAATATGCATTTACTTAAGTAGGGTAAATTTTGTGAGGAATCTATAATTGCAAAATCGAAAAGTGAGAGTTAGGCTAATGTACTAGAGAGTTTTTAATTCTCAATTGGTATTTTTTAAAAAAATGTCTTTTTTTTTAAAGATTTTTTTAAAGTCCCTTAAAAACATTGAACCTGAGGGCAACAAATCAACTTAACTCAGATACTGGACAAACCGAACCTTTCTTCTAGAATGAAACATAAAATGAAACATAAAACTTGTTGATACCAAGAATGAAACATAAATAATGCCTACAACAGTTGAATATATAAGAGATTGTAATAAAAAATATCATTGAATTTCTTCTAATTGACTTGCATTAAACAGTAACAATCCATTTTATGAACCACACAAAAACTCTACAACTTCACCCCAATAATACGTGTTCACCCCCAATGATATAGGTTTAGTAGCGACAACTGCTAGAAATAATCCAAATGTCATTGAAAGAACTGACAGCCACATACAAAACATCATACATATGAGGAGAATATTGGCGGATACATCCCAACGTTTACTCTCTACTAGCCAATTCATTCCAAACTTTTAAAATTGAGAGCAACCGTCCTATGACCTGTTGTTACACTCTTTTTTTAAGAGGATTAATAGTGGTTCCCCAATTACCCCCCGGTGTGACTCGAACTCGTGACCTACTGGTCAAAGTTGAGGCGTCTTACCTCTAGACTGCACCTCGTTGTCCCCATGACCTATTGTTAACCTAGAACAATAAGTAAAGTTTACTTAGTTTCATAAATTTTACTTAGTTCGATATTTATTACTTTTGCCACTTATTTCTTTTTTTATATTTTATATTTTTTTCCTTTTTATTTAGTCTGGTTAATTATGTCATTCCATCGCCTCATCTCTCCCAATACCGTTACAGTTACCAAATAAAAGACTTTGTTTCCAATCTGTTTGGAATATTTTTTTGATTGTTTTTCATAATAGTTTATTAATAAATGTCCAATTTCAGCATATCTTTTACATTTTCAACATATAAAGGTTTCAATTTATGCATGAAACATGTGGAATCAAAATTCACGATGCATTATTAGATATTAAAAAAGTTTTAAAAAAATTAAAAAACCAATTAATTGCTTCTTCTTTTTTTTAACCAATTACTTCTTCATAATAAGGTCATAACCAGGTTTGGAAATTTTATAAAAAATATTAAAAATAAAAAATGAGAGAGAGAGCGAGAGAAAGAGAGAGAACTAATTTTCACCTGTTATACCAGGTCAATTTTGTCTTGTTTTGAGGTCATGGGACGATTGCGCTTAGTTTTACAAACTTTGAGATATAATTATTTAATTTTAAAAGTTTGAGATGGATTGACTAATAAAGGGTAAACGTTGAAATGTATCCGTCAATATTCCCATATATTTTCACTCCATAATTGGAAGGGAAGGACTGACGCCCAAAGTTTTGAACCAATTTAAACAGCAAATATTTCACTTGTCAAGTGGACAAGCATTTTATGATTGACAAAATCTTCATCCTTAACAAAAACTCAAATCCGAGCTGGGCCTCGAGATTCTACTAAGGGTCATGAACATGTGCTTTATCATAAGAGATTACTAACGTTTAGCCCATATGCATATGTTTTTTAGTTTGATTGACCAACGAAGGTTCTACGTACTCATCGATGTTTTAATCATAGTTCAAGTGATTGAATTTTATCATGAGTAGTTGAGTACGGAGTTTGTGTATACTGTATACTCAAAGAGACATTAATTATTTTATTACCTCCCTCCCTGTACTATTTTTTAATTTGGATTTTTATTTTTAGTTCAAATTATATCAAAAGCAAAAATCCAAACAAAATAATAATTTTGGGACAACGTGAGTATCAATTTGTGAACAACGATCATTTGACAAAAAAAAAAAAAACCTAGCTAGGTCCTTGTTTAATGAATTTTCTTAGCAATTGAATATGGATAGTACCTATTATAGTTGTATATCTGTCTATAATTCTTTTAATACTATAACAGAGGTAAGAAGTTAAAACAGATATAGATACGAACACATTAATAAAGTCATGTTAAATTACATTAACTCGAGACGGAGACTAGGCTAACCATCCTCCTCTACTGTAACTCACAAAGTTATCATCTTATTACTTATAACTTCCCCCAGCTTCCTCTCACAAGAGCTAATTTTTAACATAAGTGTTTTGAAATAACAGTCAAACTTTGACACTGATTTGCATTGTCTGTTAATATTTTATTCTAAAGGAGAGATGAATGCAGATTAAACTACTAAAGAGAGAGACCATTTCAATAATTTAAACTCTTTAATTTATTTAAGGAAATTCACATTTGGACCCCAAGAATATTTGTCCACTAAGTACCAAAAGCTGCCTTTTATTACAAGGAGGATTAGAGTAAGAAATGTACGAAGGTGACGAAAGGAGAGGAATATTGTAGAATAAATCATACACATCGCAAAAGCTTTAGCATCTATACTATTCCTCCTGATCATCACTTTTTCTATCATTACTGTCAGCAACAAAACAAAAGCATCAGAACAAACAAATGAAAATCGCATAACTAAAAATAAAAATTGTAGTCAACAAAACCCCTCCAAAAAAAAAAGAAAAAGAGAATGCTAAGACTAATCCTTCAAGAACACTCCAATAAATCCATCTTCTTAACTGATGTCCGACTCTATTCTCTATTGTTTCTGTTATTGTTTTCCACCCAATTTCACCATATCATAGCCACCATCTTCATTTACAACGGATGTTCCCAAGAAAAATACCAACCAAATTCACCCTACGAAACCAACCTCAACACTTTACTCTCTTCCATCGTTAACTCAGCCTCACAAACCCTTTACAACAACTTTGCCTTAGGAAACGACACCTCCTCCTCCTCGTCGGCCCAGCCAGATGGCGCAACCTTCTGTTTATACCAATGCCGGGGCGATTTAAAGCCGGCCAATTGCGCGACATGTGTCGCAAGCGCAGTAAGCCAGATAAACCTAATCTGCGCTTATAGTTATGGAGCAACTTTGCAACTTGAAGGGTGTTTATTGAGATACGAGCACTTTGACTTCCTTGGGAAGCAAGATACCAGCCTTAGGTTCAAGAAATGTAGTGCAAGTGTGAGTAATGATGGGGAGTTTCTGAGGAGAAGGGATGATGTTATAGCGGACTTGATGACGGGTGCGGTTAACTCGGCTTTTCGGGTTAGTAGTTCCGGTTCGGTTGAAGGTTACGCACAATGTGTTGGCGATTTGAACCAGGCCGATTGTTCTGCGTGTTTGGCTAATGCTGCGGCTCAGTTGAAGACTCTTTGTGGCGCTTCGGCAGCTGGTGATGTATTTTTGGCACAGTGTTATATTAGATACTGGGCTGCTGGATACTATGATTCTTCCTCACCAGGTGCGCTCAAATTGTTAATGTCTTACTGTTTTTTTTTTTGTCCCTTCTGTCAAGTACCTCGTAAGATAATTATTTTGGGACAGACGGATACAATATTAATTTCTACTTTCTAGGTTCTTCTTGGCTAGTCGTGCATGTTGGTACCCGCACTAGCCATGAGTGAATTAGACTTTAATTATCAGCTTGTTTGACCACTTTTGATCATTTTGGAATAATATTGGATTACTCTTGGAGCATTTTAAAATTGAGACGCCACTTTTGGTTGTCTCCTTACTAGGACCATATATGATATATAAACCTTATGCTATTGAGTAATGATCAGTAGATAGAATCTCTTTTCACCAGCATACATGCAAAAGGATTGGTTTATACATTATCGGCATATATCTTAGTCTGATTCTAAGAACAATTTACTTTTTTGTTCCTATAGAAGAAGTCATACACTAGTGGAAAAGGAGTAGCTATAGGTATACGCATTGAAAGAAACCCTTCAAAAACAAAACCTTCAAAATGAATAACACCATTTTGTAATAATATTTGATATGTGTGAATGGTAATTTAATTATTTAGTACTATTTATGTCCCAAAAAGTAATTTACATTGAGTTTGAATTTTGTACAAAAAATAACACAAATTTCAAAACTCAATATGAACTATCTTTATGAGGACATGTGGAATAATATAATTTCATTTATAAATACGATGATATTTTAGTTATAATACATATAAATTAAATTGAAATATATGTGTTAGAGTGCAACTATATGTGTCGTCTTCATAAATCATAATGAGACACAATCATATATACACAGTGAAGTTTGATCATTTCAATTTCTTGGTCAATGGTCATGAGTCATTACCGTTTCATTTCTTAATCGTATTTCCCTTTCTTAATTAATTAGCAAAATGCCATGAAATGACATGCTCTTTTGTACATGGCAGATTCTTACAACGAGGACGAAGTAGGGAAAACGGTAGCCATAATTGTGGGATCCGTAGCTGGGGCGGCCGTTCTTATTGTATTTCTTTCCCTTTGCCGAAAGGTTTTTGGTAAGTTCCCTTTGGCCTAATTCTTTTTCTGATAATCGATTTCTTTCGTGGATTTCAATATTATCGTTTATCTTATCAACAAACTAAAGCTGTATGATTCCCGAATCTCATGCAAATTACAAATTACAAATTAATATTGCAGCCACCGGAAAATGATGTTGGCAAGTTGCTAGAAAAGGGGAACTCCACTTACCTTGTCCCGGGGAAGAGAATCTCGTCATCATCATTTCTTCTTTCTTTTAGCCTTTATCATCCATTTCTTTTTTAGTTCAGAAGAAATTCTGGCATAAGGTTTTCAATTATTTCCACGGTATTGCACACTTATCAACAAGCGCGGCCCTTTACAATTTGATGGTACTTTTTTCCAGTATGACTAATGTTTATTTTACATTTTTTCGAATATATCTTTATTAGAGTTACACCCACTTTAACAATTTCAATACAACATCGATAACTTCTCTTATTTTTTTATTACTCCCTCCGGTTCATATTTTAAGGTATTTTTATTTTTTTAAATTTTTAATTTTGTTAATTAAAAATGCATAATATATGAAACCTGGAACAAATTAAAATATTTTGTATTAAGGATTGGAGGGGGTACAATAGAAGAGACAAAGCGCCTTAATAGCTTAAGCAAACATTATGTGAGTAGGAGACACCGACAATACCATACACTAACTACAGTTTATTACTAATAGGTAGGATTTTATGCCCGCCAAAAATACTAAATAATTCACTGTAAAATTTGATTCTCGATAAGTATGATTCAACTCTAAAACCCATATCCCTGACAATTCCTTAATGGCCTTAATCAAATTACCATACATGCCGACAACCCCTTCTTCCGACTTCCCAATTTAAGCACTCCTTCATTATCAACATCAACGACTTGTTTACTGCCAAGATCCCAAGCCAGTTGCAATGGCTAGAAGACTAGCACAACCCCTAAAGTTAAGCTCCAAAACATAAAAGTGCTTTGTCGAAACCTCAAAATAGTATATAGATCAAACAATTGGGCCAATATTGGGCCAACTAGTATCAAACACAGTGTCACGCACCTAATTATAGAAAATTGAAAGTATAGGGACTGAAATAGTGTTTTAGAAAATAGACGAATTATAAATAGCTGGCAGGGGGTCTGTAATTGAACTATCGAAAATATTATAACGGAATTGAAATTTCCAGTTTCTTCCTTCTTTTCCAATTCCCAAAACCCCGTAATCCTAATTTTCTCCCATCCCCGTCCGTTTTCTCCCTTTTCTGCTTTTCCAGCCACCCAAGACCCCCTGGTCGTGATACACACAACTAATTTGAATCGACCCGACAAAAAGTCAGTTCAATTAGTTCATGACTTGCATTATTAAAAAGAAAAACATAAAATTTCAAGTAATCCTTAAACGTATATAAACAGAACCTAAGAGCACTACAGTAACAGAAATCCAGATGGAATCAGCTTTGAAGAAAATAATAGAGCCACTTAGATTACCAAGAATCAACCTTCCTCGCTGATGAAAAATGATTGTACATGATACCTCTATACATTTGTAAATGATGCAATATATATTCATACAGATAAATGTCACACCTCAAAAAATTGTAAAAACATTCACAAAAAAAAAAAAAAAAAAAACTTTACAGCAGCATTTGCATTTTTGGAACTGAATAAAGTGCTTAGAAGACTCATAGATCCGAATTGAAAGTTACGTTGGTGCCTGGCAACCAAGAGCTTCCACCAATGAGACCGGTCACCGTGAATTTTGATGCCTCAGCCGGAGTCATTGTCGGACGATATCCGCCCCATTTGACTCTCCCTCCGGTTGCGGAACCCGGCCCGGTGTTGGCATACTCCCCGTAATACAAAGTGCTCAAAGCAAAATCTCCATTCCAAGGTAACCAACCAGCCGGGTCAATCAAGCTACCCATATAACTCTTCATAACCACGGTCCTGGAATACTGTTTCCACGGCCTTCCAAGATACGTTTTCACCGACCCTTGAACCGGAGCCAAATCCGGGGCAGCGAGAATCCTGGAATTGTGTATCGAAATCCCGGTGTTCTGGTTCTTGTCGATCCTGCCTTGGGCTGTGATTGTGTTGATCTTGTTTGGCGGGTTTCTTGAGTAAAGGGTACAGTTTTGGAACACAACTGCGGCGTTTCCAAAGATGTAATCTACGGTTCCGTAAATGTTACAGTCCCGGTAAAACTGCCGGTTCGAGTGGGCGTAAAGTGTGTCTTGGTAGCCTTCGAAACTGCATTGGTAAAATACCGAGTAATCGGAATCTGAACGGAAAGCTACGGCTTGGTGGTTTTGTGGACCGGCCGTGTTTCTGAATGTGATCCCACGTGCAATGAATCCGGGACCAACTGCAGCTGCAAATAAATTTAAATGGAGGATATGATCAGTTGAAATATTCTAATAAAGTAAATTTACACATTAAATTTTTTTTCCCAGTGATTATGCCTCATTAGTGACTATAAAAAGTTACTATCACGAATTCACAGTTTTTATTATTAGTATCCTAACAAAAATCCAGCGGGACAATAATTAGACAAATCAATTGACAATAATATCATTCGTCGAATTATTTTAATTCAACCAACCAAATTATATAAATTATTGTACTCCCTCCGGTCCTTATTATAAGGCATTATGATTTTGTTTTATGTTTCATCTAGAATGTTTTTTTAATCGAAATAAAAATCTTAAAAATATTTTATAATAATTAGAAAAACACAATGAACGTGAAAATATATTTTTAAAGTTGTTTTTTTCAATTAAAAAATCATCTTAGGTGAAACTTATGGTGAAATTAAAATGCCTTATAATAAGGATAGGAGGGAGTATAATAGATAGATTGATCAACAAACACGATTTAAACATAATTAGGACGGAAGATGCATGCATGGATAATCTTAAGTTAGTCCTTTGATGAACCTACGACAGAATCTCTAATAATTGTACAATTCCTAATTATCTCTAATCTATCAAATTAGGATGGAATTAAAGAAAACTGATAAATGATTGACTTACCAACTGTAGCTGATCGGAAAGTTGTGGTACCGCTACCGGCGACACTTTTGCTTCCAGTAATTATGGTTTTCCCAATACCGTCTCCGACAAACATAATATTCCTCACTTTCTTCCCAATTTCCACACTCTCCGAATACGTCCCAGCTTTAATGTAAATCACCGTTCTGGTAACATTGTTCGCAATCTTCGAAGCCGCCGCCACAGCCGCACCAACCGTGGTAAAGTTTCCTGAACCATCTTTGGCAACCACGAAATTCGGCCTGATTATTACAACCGGAGACGGTACTGCTCCAGCCTGGAGGAGTTTCCGGTCGCCGGGACTTACCCAGTTCGGGAAACCCCCTTGGTAAATCGGCTCGCTGAAAGGCACATTGTTCACGGCTAAAGTGTTACTAATCAAACTACTAACGTTGTAGCTGTCACTCGACAACGTTGGTAACATGTAGTCGGCTTCACCGACTTCCGTGAACCCTTGTTTGCATGTTTCGATGTTCGTTAGCGCCGTGCTGAGCCAGGTTTGTGCATCTTTGTCGCTGCATTTGGTGTGAGGATTGACGATTTCGTTCATGTTTTGGATCGCGATGTCGTACAGCTCAAGGCAGTCGTACCATGCAGCCTTTTCTCGGGGATTTTTCAACTTGGAGCCAAGGCGGTAGGTATCGGCCGCGGCGCGCACTGCGCGCTCGAGGGCGATGAGGAGAGATTTTTTGAGGAAATCGGGTTTGCCTTTGATGGGAGAGCTGTATTTAGGGCTGTGGGTGAAGAAGTATTCGCATGTTTTTGGGTGTGGAGTTTCTGCACACCATGATTTTATGTCTGATTTTGGAGGATGTTGCCTTGAAAAGCCTGGAGTAACAAAAATGGCCAAGAACAATAAAAGGATTGCTGAATGAAATGCCATTGATGAATATGGTGGTTTTACGAACATGGCAATGACGGGATTCGAACTTGGTGATCAAGAAAAAAAGTTGTTGAAATAGAGATTTATTTCTAAGGATTTGGTACGTGTGTGGTGCAATATTCGGTCACTTTGGAGCACTATTTATAAGTACCAAAATAAGGAGGTCTAATGCGGACATTGATAGTGATTTCACATTATGTAACCATAATACGTGCAAACATTAACTTCATCAACAATAGTTTAGGGCGGAAGTTGATTTGCTTTCAGATAAATTGATAAATGATTAGTTTGTTGAAGACAAAAAAAAAAAAAAAAAAAAGCGTTCTGTGTACCCGTGTGGAAAAAATTCCAATTATTTGGAGCTGATCAGATCATCATTAAGATTAAGGCGTAGCTAGTCAACTTCCGGTGGGAACTTGTAAGGTGATGTCGTCGTATTATTTTAATAATTGATTTTGTTGAATTAAAGTAATACAAAAAATTAGATTATTACAATGAAGAATGAGGGAGAACCATATATAGCACAGTGGAATAGAGTAGACCAATAGTGACTTTAATTCAACCTAGCTCCGATCCATCTCAAATAATTTGCGGGCATATGTATAATTAGATAGAGAGGGTCCATGCAAGGAAGGTGGGAACAAGAAGTGACAAATTTTAGTTTGTCCTTTTAGAATAGAAGAAAACAAATTATAAGGATGGCACAAGAATATATGATTATATTTAGTTTGTCAAAATGCTACTGCTAATTACCCAATCAATGCTAGCTGCTGGGTCTATCAATCATAGTTGGATATGATTTGGATCAATCAATATATATAATTTGATAATAAAGAATAACAAAGTCTGTTTGTATGCATGTTTCTTAAAGAACAATTAACATATAATATAAGAGTTAATTATGTCGAACTATGATTATCTCGTAATTGTTGTAGGCTGCCCAAATGAAGAAACTATAAAAACATACCAAACGAAGTGGCAGTTGCTTGGTTGTTTCCAATTTCCCCAGCTAGGGTCCGGCGGTTCCGATCAGACCAAAAGCTTGCCTAATATTCCTCGAATTGACAATCTACCAGACTATATATTAATTGTTTATTATCCATTTTTTCTTTGGTGAACCCAACAATAATACAGCAAAACCAGCTACATATATTATATACGTATAGAGCATTTGTTGTTTGAACAATGATATGGATCCTAAGTCCTAACAACTTCTACGTGAACTACTTTCTGGCGATGGAGATTAGACACCAACTGATCATTAATGTGTCGGTGAAAAGTAGTACATTGTTTAATTTCTTAATTTTATTTGACGTTTTCTAAATTGTCTTTAATTCTTTAAATTCATTTTTGTATATCGATCGGGGGAACAAAGTGGGAGAGGAAAGGATAAGGTGAGGATTTGAACTTTTCGTGGCCACCAAAATAAATCCCGATGATCAGTTGACTACAACTCTAGAAAAATCAAACATATTCTTCTTTTCTAATTTTCAAATTTCAATGCATAACTTGGTTTTTCTTTCGTCTCTTGTACTTGCCCTTGTTATGTAATTGAACAAGACACATAGGGGTCCATGTAGTGGCTAATGGGTTAATCAACATTACACAACGGCTCGTTAGCCCAAATTGTGTCAGTTGCATTGCACTAACAAATGGACGCTCATTTTACATAGCTTGAGTGCTTTTTATTTCAAGTTATATATATGATGTCTGCGGTTTACCGACGGTAATAGTAATTAATATTTTGCATTAAACTGCAATTATACTATTCCATAGTCCCAAAAACAATTATACTGTATTAGTGTAAATCTCAAAATTTATTGTAAACTATATTCTTTAGGGCAGAAACAGTACAATTTAACAAGGAAGATTATAGTATATATCACTATTGCCAGTAATGCACATCTTATATTCAATTCGAGGGCATTTCATTCAATCATTCATTTCTGGCTACCAAGCTACAGATTTTCATTCAAAAGCTAGCTTTCAACAATAATTAGAAAAAGAAAAATAAATCCAAGAAGAATATGAGCAAGCTAACTTGGCAAATATATTGAAGAAACCATTTTATACAATTACGAGCTTACAATGGTTTTAACACCCCGATGAAATAATGTTGAAAAATAACAACACCTACTTTTGATAATTGTACTTTTATGAATCAACAACATTTACTAATTAATTAAATAACAATGATATAACTATCCATATCCATTTTTTTTGACATTGAATTCATAAAGCTGAACAAAGTTGAAAAATATTTCTGAAAACAAAAAAGCTAACGAAAAAGGGAACCAAAAAAAAAAAAGTAATTGAAGTCGTAAACATTTGCACACAGTTGCGGTTAGTCAGCCGGTTAGTAAGACGTACTCAGAGACCAGCATTGTAAGGCACGCCGGAGGCTCCCAACCAAGAATTTCTGTCAATAAGGTTGACCACCGTGAACGGCGACGCCTCTGCCGGAGTTGTCAAAACATGATATCCGGTCCAATTCACTCTCTGGGCCGTACCCGAACCAGGCCCGGTATTGGCATATTCTCCATAGTACAAAGTGTCGAGACCGAAGTTCCCATCCCATTGCATCCAACCGGCCGGGTTAACCAAACCATCCATAAACGTTGTCATAAAAACCGTTCGGGAATATTCTTTCCACGGCCGGCCGAGATAAGTTTTCATGGCTCCCTGATTTGGTGCAACATCAGGAGCATCTAGAACTCGGCAATTTTGAATCGAAATTCCAGTGTTCATGCTTTGATCGGTCCGGCCTTGGGCGGTTACGGCGTTTAACCAATTAACCGGAGCTCTTGCGTAAATGTTACAGTCTTGGAACACGACGGCCGCGTTTCCGAAGATGAAATCTACGGTTCCGTAAATGTCGCATTCCTTGTAAAACTGTCTGTATGTTTGCACGTAAAGTGTGTCTTGATATCCTTCGAAGCTGCATTGGTAGAATACCGAGTGATCCGAACCGGAACGAAGAGCCACCGCCTGTTGGTTAATCGGGCCTGCTGTGTTTCTGAATGTAATCCCCTTGGCTATGAATCCAGGTCCATCAACAGCTGCACACACGTAAACATAATTTCATATCAAAATGAGACTTCGACAATCTCGAAGTATGGCTGATCAGATAACACTGCTTATTACTTAAAATTATCCAATTAAAAGAGTTTAATTTTAGCATGTTTTGATAAGGAGAAAATGAATTTCTTTGTAATGGATTGCGTGTTGTTTAAACTGCAGTACAAATTATAAATAATAAAACTTACTTTAATCCTTACTTTATGACTGTTTAAGGAATCCATCATTTTCGTTTCCGTATTAAAGATTAATATAAAACAGTGACTAATTCTTTTTGTGGAAATAAATTGTAGACTAGACTTACCAACTGTAGCTGATTGAAAAGTCGTCATCCCCGGGGTACCGCCAACGCTTCGACTTCCAGTAATTATGGTGTTTCCGATACCATCTCCAACAAACATAATATTCATGGCATCCCTTGTAATTTCCACATTCTCCACGTATTCTCCACCCTTGATGTATATCACTATTCTTGATAAACCATTGCTTACTAGTGAAGCATAAGCCACAGCTTCACCAATGGTTGTAAAATGCCCAGTTCCATCTTTAGCAACCACAATATTATTAGTAGTTGGTGTTAGTGGTGGTGGTGGTGGTGGCGGCGGTGTTAATGTATTTGGTGGTGGCGCTGACGGTGTTGTTGGCGGCGTCGTAACTGGAGATGTTGGCGGTGCAGGCGCTTGCAAAAGTTTCCGATCACGGGGGCTTACCCATGTCGGGAAACTGCCTTTGTGACGATTAGTGGGTCCAATGATTGGGTGAACTTTGACTATTGAAGCTAAAGCTTGGCTGATCAAGGTGATAACAATGTTAATTGTGGAAGGCAAAAGGGAATCTCCTCCCTGGCCAGCTTCCTTTAATCCATCATGGCAGGTATCGAGCCGAGTTCGAGCCGCGCTGAGGCGCGCTTCTACATCAGCCGCGCAGCGTGTGGCGCGAGGATCGCCGATGTCGAGCAAATCTCGGACACAGGCTTTAGTAAGCTTAGCACAGTCGTTCCATGCAGTTTTTGCACGGTGGGATGGTTTAACGTTGGAAGCTATGTTGAGTGTGTCATCTGCGGCTCGCGAGGCGGTCGGGACGAGTAGGTCTAGACGGATGGAGATTAGACCTAACACATTTAGATTCAGCTTTTGGTTAGTGAGATGATCACTAGAGCTAAAGTAATATTTAGAATTCTGAATGAAGGAATTTTCACATGTTTCTGGGTCTGGAGTTTGTGCACACAATGAGGTTATGTCCGGTGGGGGTGGTGCATGTCTAGAAAAGGCTGAAGAAACAAAAAGGGCTACGAACAATACTACTGCTAAGATTAATGGTGAAGGATAGGCCATTGTTGATGATGATGATAGTTTTGTGAACATTTTCTACGGCAAAATGGAGAACTTGATGATCAAGAAAGATCAGTCATTGAGATTAACACTATATCTATCTATTAGGGATTGGGGCAGTTTTACGTGGTGTAATATATGGTCACTTTGAGCCACTTATTTATAGTGCCCAAACAAACAAAGGCTTCCTTAGAGAAAGGTTACATCCCATGTTGTGGAGGTTGGTTGTTCATTTTCTTTTTCCCGTTGTAATATGCTTATTTTAATTTAGCGCACTTGACACATTGCTCAATCAAAATGGAAATTAAGATTTAAGAATACTTGTAACAACCAAAAAATAAAAAATAAAAAATAAAAAAAAAGTAGTAGTACATGTCCGGATTTTGATGAGTTTATGCAACGATAAACTGATAAACGGAATATTTTTCATTCAAAATGAGTTCACTTTAAGAATTAGTCTCAACGTGATTGTTGTTGTTTAGAATCATCACAAAATTTTTACACATTACAATCGCAAAAAATATACTGCATTAGTCCAAGACAATTTAATTTTATCTGCTTTTCTCCCCCGACTACAGCAGCAGCCATATATTAGTCCGATTACGAACTTAAATCAAATCATAGGTTTTTCAAAATAATATCAAATCTAAACATATCCTAAACCCCAGAAAAAAAAAAATAAATTCCACATCACCTTATAAGGCTTATGACATCAGTAGGTATTCATTACAAGTATCTGCTATTTAATTTTTAAATGCTAAAAACTAAAACGGACTACTGTAATTTGACATATTGAAAAATTAAAAGTTCATCGTTTTTTTTTGTTTTTTTTGTTTTTGAAAAAAAATGGATATGATTGCCTTATTGAAGTTTTATTCGTCAGTATTTATTGTGAAAAATAACTAGAATGGTCAAAATGTACATATTTTTATTACAAACTATAAAAATCGTACTACTTAATTAAATTGTATTGTATCGCAACAAAGAATAAAACATGGAAGCGACAAAACACCTATAGGGGAGACCAATGCGTATATCATGATATAGCGTGAAAGTTATTCCAATTATTAATTTGAAAGTCAATGTACGATGTTTCAAACTATTCTGATGGCACTATGGTTGAAACTATTTGTTTAATCCAACGTTGAACATCCCTCAAATAGTTTATTTTAGATCTGCAGGCAAAACTTCCATGCAGGTGTAGATGGTAACAACGAACAAGAACTTTCTAATTAATTTAAAGTTTATGTTAAAAGGTCACATCTAAATTAATTATAAGAAGCTGATTAATGAAGTTGAAGTGTCAACTCATATATATAGCATTTGCATTCGTTAGTTCAATATCTAACTAATAAAATTAACAAAATATGCTAGCTCTTTGATTAACTATGGATATGTAGAATGATTGCACGCGATGACTAGCTAATTTATTAAGTTTATTGAAGTGGAACATTCATGTAATACAAACAACCAAAGAATGAATCCGTACCGAACGAAAAGCGGTGCAAACATGGTGTTCGATAACAAAATATAATTAGTTTGAAATTCGCATTAGTGTATAATGATTATACTAGCTCCATCCTCTATTTAAAAAGATGGATGGATATAATTGCGATTCAATTTATTTGAACTCCTTAGGTGTAGCTGATGTAACTTTTGTTTTTGTGATTTAACTGCCTTATAGCTACACCAACAAAAGAGTATTTATATATGCTTACCATGCAATTTTTGTAAGATTAATGTCCTTGTACGTCAGAATGTCAAGAGAGAATAAAATTTTCACATTGATTGTGATAAAGAGGAAAATTATTACTCTTTTTATTGGAAAATAATTTATATCTGGGACTAAGGAAGTATTTTCTTTGTCATTGACACAATAAGACTTTATGTACACAATTACATCAGGAGAGAATTTCGAAGGAATTTGAAATCTTTTATAGAGTTGTAGCAAACCGATATCCTTTCGGTGTAGTGCAATCTCCGCATTTGATCACAATAACTAGGGCTGCAATCTCCGACACGACCCGAATTTTTAACACGAACCCGACACAAAATAATCGGGTTCGGGTTAAAATTTTTGACCCGTATAATAAACAGGTCGAATTAGGGTCGACCTGTTTATTATACAGGTCGGGTTCGGGTCAACCCGTCGAGTTATCCGAATGACCCGAATATATGTTTTGTAGGGTTAATTTTAGAATTTTAATGCAAAGAAACCCTACATCACTCGAAGACTTTCCCAGTTCCCACTTTTCAGTTTCATTTTACACTCTAATTTTCTAAGTCTCTGCGGCGGCCGTCCAAAATAGTGGAACACCCAAAACAAAAATAAAAAATTCTCCCGAATCTCAATCTCTCCCAATCAAAGATTCTTCATATTCTTCTTCCCAATCACTGAGATCTTTCAAAGAAGTGGCAGTTCGAGCAGTGGATTGGATTGGACTTCGAGCAGCGGTCGACTTCGCTTCGACTTCACTCATTTATTCTCCATCTCAGGCACAAGTTAGGCTCTCCTCAGTTCTCACTCTCAATTCTCAAGTCTCAGCTGCAATTGAGCAAATTGATTTTGATTCTTTTTTTCAAAAAGAAAAAAAAAAGTGCTAGTTCTTGACGGCCGGTTGATTGAATATTATCTGAATTAGGAGATTTTGAAAGTGCGCTTTATGTAATTGTGTTTCTTATCCCAACCTGTATAATTAAATAAGTCGGGTTCGGATTAGTCAAAATTTTAATGGGTTCGGATTCGACCTGACATGCCAACCCAAACCCGACACGAATTGTGAGGCCTAAATTGGTCCATAAACCCAATAATTTCACCCTAAAAATATACCATTCGAAATGCAATTGACAAGTCAGATTACTATAAGATTGAGAAATATAATTAAGATTGAGAATGGGGTTCTTTAATTGCTGGATTGGGCTGAATATAACTGGATTATAGTTGAGCCAGCGCAATTTCGACATGTCCTGTGTTCTTCATAAATAAAAATCATGTATAAGTCACATATCTGTTTGACCAAGTTAATGGCATTAATCATATCGTTTTCCCTTGAACTAAACACTTTTTACATACGCGATAAGATCGAATTCTTCAATCTCACGATTCAAAAAAAAAAGAAAAAACTGAATTTTTTCGAAGTACTTAGATTTTTATTTATTTTTTTTTTTTTGACCTCAAAGTTTACACTTTAGTTTACACTTTGACATCTTTGATATTTTCAAATATGGCATGTAAACGGTACTTTAACCAAAATTAAGGAAAAAAAATACTCCCTCCGTCCCAAAATTATTGACCAGTTTGTATTTTTATTTTTAGTTCAAATTGTACTAAAAATAAAATTTTAAACTAGACAATAATTTTGGACAGAGGGGTATCAGATTTGCAAATATATGACGAAGAAAGTCAAGTGATATACCCTCTCTATAAATTACTTATGCCGGTCCTTATTATAAGACATTTCTTAAATTTTATTTATTGTGTTCCAATTAAAAAAATCTTAAAAACACATTCTAGATTTATAGTATTCTCCAATTATTATTAATAACATTTTAATTATTTTCAATTGAGAAAATATGATACATAAAATTTAGGAGCAAAAATCAAAATGTCTAATAATAATGACCGGAGGGAGTATGTCGTTAAATAATTGTCATGTTTGTTGTTTTAAAATATATATATATTTTTTATTATTCTCTTTTCTTACAATAAGTAGGATGATTAAATTATTTTGGAACTAAGAGAAAAATTATGATAGTTTTCCTGGATGATGAATCACTAACGACAAACTAAAATTTTGGGTTTGTATTTTTTAGTAGCGCGCGTATTTTTCTTGTCGATGAACCTGATCATTATTGACATACTTTGGACGCACTATCCATCCATTACATCTCTACATCTCTACAGATGGAGACGATACTAATAAAAAATGTATTCTTTTTGTTTAAAAATAATAGTTTATTGTAATAGTCTAAAACAGTAAAATAATTTAGAAAACGTCAATGTGGTTAGACAGCTAGCATTGCATGTTTGCACTTCGTGTCCTTTGTATCCCCCTCACCTTTTCAATTTAATAGACGAAAACCTTGAAGATGTTAATTTTTCTTTTATTTCCCCTAACAATTCCCCAATGTGGATTTTTTATTAACTTTTTAAAAGTTGACTTGTCCATTGCTAAGTTCAAAGCCTTCTGCATGTACGATAATTAAAAAAAAAAAAAAATTGTTCAGGCGATGATTATGATCATCACTCTAACTCTCTCTTAATCATAAATACAGGACGAATGACGCCAACAAGACCAACATTAGAGTTTCTCATAGGTTTTCTTACAAAATGAAATAATCAAAGACAAGCCAACAATAATCTAAAGAAACAAAACAAATTATTGACATAACATTATGAACAAAAAAAATGACAAAGAAATAAACACTATTGGTGTGGCATTGCACGAATTGAATTGATCAGAAGCCATAGACTGATTAGAGGTAAGGAGTGAAAGGTACATTGGTGGCCGGCAACCAAGAAGTTCCACCAATGAAGTTGGCCACCGTGAATCTGGATGCCTCCACCGGGTTCGTTATCACACGATATCCGCCCCATCTTACTCTCTGACCCGTTCCCGAACCCGGGCCGTAATTGGCATACTCTCCATAATACAAAGTGTTGAGAGCGAAATTTCCATTCCATGGTAACCAACCAGCCGGTTTGACCAAACTATCCATGAATGTCTTCATGAACACTGTCCGAGAGTACAACTTCCAGGGTCGGCCGAGATACGTGGCGACGGATCCCTGAACCGGGTATAAATCGGGAGCTGCGAGGACTTTACAATTGTGGAATGAAAACCCGGTGTTCTGGTTCGGGTCAATCCGGCCTTGGGCGGTGATCGTGTTGATCTTGTTGGGAGGATTTCTTGCATAAAGGTTGCAGTTTTGGAACACAGCTGCCGCGTTCCCGAAGATGAAATCTACCGTTCCGTAAATGTTGCATTCCCGATAAAATTGCCGGTTTGAGTGGGCATAAAGTGTGTCTTGGTAGCCTTCAAAACTGCACTGGTAATATACTGAGAGATCGGAACCGGACCGGAAAGCGACGGCTTGATGGTTTAGAGGTCCGGCCGTGTTTCTGAATGTAATCCCACGAGCAATGAATCCAGGACCCGTAACAGCTACAAAACAATGTAATTATAGCCAACTCAACTTTTACATCGTAACCAACAACCTAAGACTTCAAATGAATTGGATAGAGGTAGTAAAACACATGTTATTTTTATGGACAAGATAACACATTTTGTAAGACCATAAATTAGCATTAAAAGACTATGCATCATTTAATAAGTATACGAAAAGTTTCAAAAATATGTATTGGTGAGAGTAATACTAATGTTAATTGTTTCTCCAAATCGTAAACAATTACCCCAGGATTCTAAAAAGTCAACGAACTGACGTGGCATAGAATCTCTAGTAATTGTAGAAAAGTCATGAAATTGCATATTCATTTCTGGTATTAAAGATTAACCAATTAATTTTAAACTAGGAAGGAAAAAAAGAAATAAGCGCACATTGATTGACTTACCAACTGTAGCTGATCTGAAAGTGGTGGCCCCGCTGCCGGCGACACTAGTACTTCCGGTAATTATGGTCCTTCCAATACCATCTCCGAGAAACATAACATTCTTCATTTTCTTTCCCATCACCACAGTCTCCGCGTACGTTCCACTCTTGATGTATATAACAATCCTCGCCCCGTTGACCGCCAGCTTCACGGCGGCCGCCACAGCTGCGCCAACTGTCGCGTAGTTCCCGCTACCATCTTTCGCGACGACAATATTCGGCCTCATAGTCGCCGGAGACGCGGCCGCCTGCAAGAGTTTCCGGTCACGGGGAAACACCCAGCTCGGGAAATCTCTTTTATAAGTCGGCTCGCTAAAGGGCACCATGTTCAGTGCCAAACTATTACTTATCAAACTACTAACGTCTTCGTGCGACACCGAGGGAATCATGTAATTCTCGGTGGCCGCGGCCTCGAGCTCCTTGAACCCTTGTTTGCACGTATCAATGTAGGTTAAAGACGTGCTAAGATACGTTTGTGCATCGGCGGAGCTAATTTTAGTATGAGGATCGATGGTTTCGTTCATATATTGGATTGCGAGATCATACAGCTCAACACAGTCTCTCCATGCAGCTTCTTCACGAGAATTCCTACATTTCGAGCCGAGGTTGTAAGTCTCAGCCGCGGCTCGTTTCGCGTGTTTGAGGGCAACAAAGAGAGATTTTTTGAGGAAATCGGGTTTTCCTTTGATGATGGAGGAGCTGTATTCGGGATTCCGAATGAAGGAATCTTCACATTTTTGTTGGTGCGGAGTTTGTGCACACCATGATTTTATCATGTTCGGTGTAATCAGCTGCTGAGGATTTGAAAAGGCTTGAGGCACAAGATTAAGAAGGGCTGCCATTAACAGTATTCCTACAAGCTGGATTAATGCCATGATAAATTTTTCGGGGGAAAAAAAAAATTTGTCAATGGCGAAATGGAGAACTTGATGATCAAGAAAGGTTTATTGAGGTTGAGAGATTTAATTGGTAGGGTCTTGTGTGGGAGCACTTAGTTAGGGGTTACTATTTTTATACTAGTGCCTAACAACGTCCGTCCTTGTGTAATAATCATTGAGACTGATTTGGCACATTCCTCTTTCATTCTTTTATTCGCTCAAATACTTAAATTAATTCCTTGTGTCATCCTTATGAAACAAAGTGTAATTCAAATCTCTAATATCAGTCTAGCTAATCGGTCCATGGACTCGTTTCTGATAATTATAGTTGGACGCTCAAGCAAGCCAAATGTATTGGTTTAGGCGGTCATCTACAGCTAATGGGTATATAAATGGCCCCGATTAGTAAGTTTCGTCGAGAGATCAGGGACTACAAAATTAAAGGACCATTAATTTCGAATCTCGCATTAGCTATAGAGGCACTTTAAATCTCTCGACTAATTATCTCATTAATCGAAGTGTTTACAATTTAGCAACGAGATTAATTAGTTTATAGTGAAAACGGACAACTATGAAAAACATAGTAATTAATTGGGATGATCTGCTGAAAAACTATTTGTGATGACATTGATAATAGAATAGTACAACTAATTACAGAATACTATTTTAGAGACATATGCCTTTTTTTCTTTTTTTCCATGTGGTGAGGCAGTCCGTCATTACTATTAGGTGGTTATTCACGTCTCATATCTAATTGAACAAATGGATCGTAATATTCAACTTTGTTAAATATATATTTCGTGTGGAAATTGATTTGCTTACAGACAGATGATAACAACTGAGTAAACTTGTGGGGAAGTACACATCTCTAAGCATTTTGAAAGTCTTATGTTTGTAAGGTAGGCCTAAGATTTCAGAGACAGGTGTTCTTTAAGCCAATTTGGAACCTCAAATAATTTGTGCTACCAATAGAGCTTGATTAGGGAAGGACTTCAGTTCCATGCAATTGCAGGGGCAAATTATCTGGTACACCTGGGGCCACCGTGTACCCCTGCGTGTGTACTTTACTAACTTAGAATAGTGTGAGCTCGCTAGATAATTCAGCTTTCTTTTTTTTTTAAACCCTCTATGGATAACCAATATGCACACTATGGATAACTAGTTAAACGTGGCTGGATAACCAGTGTGCACACTATGAATAACTAGTTAAACATAGCTGGATAACCAGTGTGCACACTATGGATAACCAGCTACACACTATGGACAACCAGTGTTCACAATGTGGATAACCAGTGTTGGCAATATGGATAATTAGTTATACACAGTTGGATAACCAGTATTGATAATATGGATAATTAGTATACACAATTGAACGTACCTTATTTCCATCATTTGGCAAACTGTCCCTCATTCATTTTTTGTTCTCCATCATTTGGCAAAATGCCCATCATTCAATTAAATACTATTTATGAAAGTGTTCGGCAAGGGGGCGGCGCAGCCGCGGGCACCGGCGTAGTCGGGTCGTTTAGTTTATCACGGGGGGATTTATACAAGTAATTTGTGTCCCCTCTAAACGCAATAACACACTCTCCTTACACACACACGAAAAAAGGATTACCTTAGCTAAATTGACGTGTTCGGCGGGACGGCGCAGCCGGGGCAGGTTGGTGACCTGCGATTTCGGTAGTCGCGGGAGTCGTTTAGTTTATCATGGGGGGCGAAGCCCCCCAAGTAACATGTCGTTTGCTTCTTTACCTCTGGATAACCAGTTTACAAGTTGTGGATAACCAGTTTACATCTTCTGGATAACCAATTTACACCTTCTGGATAACCAGTTTACAACTCGTGGATAACCAGTTTATACCTTCTGGATAACCAGTTTACGCCTTGTGGATAACCAGTTTACAACTTGTGGATAATCAGTTTACACCTTCTGGATAACCAGTTTACCCCTTCTAGATAACCAGTTTATAACTTGTGGATAAATTATGGATAACCAGCAATTGTGTGTGTTTGTGCGTGAGGATGAAAACAGTAAAATGGATGAAAACAATTTTGTTTGTGCATTTAATGTAAAGGTGAAAAATGTTGAGCGCGTGTAGTGCGTGTGTTTTTGGGGGTATACAGTATACCCGGGTGCACTGGATACGGACTCATTGCAGGGTAGGTGGGAACAGGAACTACCATATAAGTTTATGGTAAGGTCCCCTTCTAAATTCCAATTCGGCTTTGTTTGGTCACACCAACTCAGGTTTTTTTTTTCCATATTCTTTTTTTTCTTTTAAATCTTTTAGACCATTTGATTACATCTTTTTACATTCTAGTTGGCACGATTTGTGTATCGAAAATGTTAAAATCTCCTTTCAACTTGAAAAACAAGTGAAAGACACTTGTCTCACATTGGTAGTAGTAACCCGCCTGGATCATCATATATACCACATGTGCTACTCTCCTCATTACCAATTGGTTTTGAAGTGAAACTACATGTTGGCTTATATGTGCCTTCAAGAGAAAAAAATCATAAGTGTAAGAGTAAAGATTGTGTGGAACAGTTCTTTACAGTTAAAAGTACTATAATACTATACTCGTATTTAAGTTAGAATTAAAATTAGCACAAATCGTGGTTCAAGTCAAGTGAGGAGAATTAACATGGTGATAAACGAATTGAGAACCAGTTTCTCGGATATTTCCACAGTTGAGACTTGATGTATTGTTTCCAAAGTTTGTCAAATTAATATTCCATGAACTAACGTTCTAACCAATTATGATTATTTCAAAAAATAAAACAAAGGCGTTCTCTCTTTCTTTGGTCTTTTTCTTTTTGTTTATAGCTAGTATTCTTTATTTCTTCTTGGTGAACCAATGATAGAGAAAACCAGCTACATATGCAGCACTGTTTTTATGAGCTTATGTCCGGCGACAACTTCTACGATACACACAGACTGATCACAACTAACTACGTGTCCGTGATAATCATTTTATTGATTATTTTATTAAACTTTTCCTTACTAATCTCTTGGAATCTGGAGATATTAATTAAGTTGCACTATACAAAGAGAGGAGAAGGAGATCTGAACATTTTACTTTGCCACCAAATTAATTTCGATGATGTTGGGCCGTTCCCCTCAATTTGACCCAAACCCAAACCACTTTGAGTGGTGGTTGACCGAGAAATACAAAAACCAATCCAATTTGGTTTTTGGTTTGTCTTGGTCATGGCTTATAAAAGCAAAGCAGCAATCCTTGTTTTTGTGTGTGTTTTTCAGCCGAGAGAGAAGCAAAGCAAGGGCAGCCATGCATAGCTTTGTGCACAAGAGAAAAAAAAGAAAGTTAGGGTTTAGTTTTCGGTTTAACTCTCTTTTGACTAGATCCTTCCAATCCTACTTTGTGGTTTAGGGGTGTGTGGAAGAGTATTGTTATAATCCACCTTTGGGTGAAGTTCTGTGTATCCACCGGTTGGTGAAGACTGTTTTCTCATTATTGTTATAGTGGAGATTTGACTGTTGTTACAGTCCCGTGGTTTTTCCCGATTTGGGTTTCCACGTAAATTTGTGTGCCTCCTTTATTTTATCAGTTCTTGAATTATTTTGCTTGTTGGGTTGGTTGTCCTATTTTATTGGTAGTAGGAAAGGAGTTTTTCTTGGGGTTCGCTTCCGTAGTGTGTTGTGTTTATACCCTTTCCGCCACAACAGTGGCATCAAAGCTACGGTTCGGTAGTTGAGGTGTTACACCAATAAAATGGAAGAGTCATCGGGTACTGGTACGATGATTAAATTGACTTCATCCAATTATCATATGTGGAAGCCTAGAATGGAAGATTTGTTGTATTGCAAAGATTTGTTTGATCCTGTTCTAGGGGATGAAGGTAGGCCAAGTGATATGACTGATAAAAAGTGGGCTGATATGCACAGGAAGACTGTTGGTAATATTCGACAGTGGATTGATCAAAGTGTGTTTCATCACTTTTCGGGAGAAACAAAAGCTGATGAACTTTGGGAGAAAATCCGAATATGTCTTGGAAGAAGTCCGGCATCAATAAGTCATCTGCACAAACAGTTACCGTGTTGAGGTACAAAGATGGTGCTAGCATGAATGAACACTTGAGTTCGTTTCAGGTTTGTTGAACCAAGTCATGTGAATGTAGGTTTAAAGTTGGATGATGAGGTGCAGGCTTTGTTATTGTTTAGTTCTCTTCCAGACAGTTGGAACACTTTGGTAGTGTCAATCAGTAATTCAACCCAGGATGGTGTCTTGACCTTGGATCAAGCCAAAGATGCTTTGATGAATGAAGAAGTCAGAAGAAAAGAGCAGAGTATTGAGTCTGAGTCGCAGGCTCTGGTGACAGAAAAGTCAGACATAAGAGGGAGAAGTAAAAGCAGAGGGCCACATGATCGGAATGACAAGTCCAGGGGACGGTCAAAATCCAAGAAAGATGTCGTGTGTTACCATTTTCAAGGGAATGGGCACTTTAAGAGGGAGTGCAGGGTTCTCAAGAGAGAACTAGCAGCGAGAAAAGGTAAAGGCAAGAAGGATGAATCAAGTGATGATGACACTACTGCAGTAGTAACTACCAGTGATGTATTTGTGTACTGTGATGATGATACAATTAATGTTGCGAGTCACGACAGTGATTGGTTCGGTGATTCAGGTGCGTCTTATCATGTGACGCCTCACAGATACTTCTTTACGTCTTACACACCTGGAGATTTTGGTCGTATAAGAATGGGCAACCAAGCCTCATGTAATGTTGTCGGCATGGGAGAGGTATCATTGGTAACGAATAAATGTTTGTACTCTTGTCTTGAAGAATGTCAGACATGTTCCGGATATGCGTCTGAACCTTATTTCCGTTGGTAAACTTGATGATGAGGGTTATTATAGCACTGAAGGTGGTGGCCGTTGGACAATTACCAGAGGGAATCTTGTTATTGCTACCCGAAAGAAGTTGAACTCTTTGTATGTGTTGAATACAAAGTTGAAGAATGGAGAGGTGAATGCGACTCACAATGCCTCCATTGATCTCTGGCACAGAAGGCTTGGACACATGAGTGTTAAGGGGTTGCAGATTCTTGGTAAGAAACAATTTCTC